CATCTCTTCTTGTCTTGATATCTTGCACTCTGTGGTCTCATGAGGCCACTCTGCCCTCTGGGGACAGGTGGCACCAGCAGGCTCCCTGGTGCTGTGGTTAGCTGTGCTCATGTGGGCTCCTACTGGACCTCAGGGACTCTCAGAAGGCCACTTGGTATTGATAACCAGCTGCTCCAGCTGTTGGATTGGCATCTAATGTTGTCACGTGCAGGCGGCCTGCACACAGGGCACTGTGACCCCACACATGCAAGCATTCCGCATAGGCAGGTGGGTTAAAGCCACTGCAGGTACAAGTGGCCCTTGACAGCATGAGTGTGAACTTGACAGCCCACTTGAACGTGGACTTCATTTTCCTGTTGCAGCGGCGAGGAGCCGAGGTGTTGTGAGGGTGCACTCAGCCTCGGTGGCAGTGGCCAGTCGACGGGCCGAGCTCTAGCTGTCCACTCAGAGCGGTTTCCTGTATACACTTTCTTTGGCCCTCACGGGAGCCCTGCACAACACAGGAGCTCGCTCACTCCCTTCATAGGTAACAAAGCTAGGGAGGCAGAACCTGGCAGGGAGGATGGGGGCCTGCCTGCCACGCCGTGCTGCCACGCTCTGTGACCAGCTCTTTCTGCTGTGCCTCCCTGTGTGCTCACACATGGTGACCTCCAAGGAGAGCTTGGTTTTGCCCTCTCCAAGACAGTCCTGTTTGTTTTCTTGGCAGTCAGTCCATGGTATGTTCAGTACTCATCTCCAGCACCACAAATCGAAGACTTCACTTGTTCTTCTGTCATTTTTGGTCATTGTCCAGCTCTCTGATGCATAGCAAGTAACTGGAGAGAACATGGGCCGTATCAGACACTTGAGTCTCTAGACTGACATTGTTGCTATTCAGCATTCTGGAGAGGTCCCTGACTGCAGATTTTCCTAATGTAATTCATCCAATTATTTTCCAACTGCGAGTGCCAAGAGCTGAAATTGTTAACAATCTCAATCTCCATCTATCACGATGCTGCCAGTAGGTCCAGCATCCCTGATACACTCCCTTCCTGATTTTAAATCATACAATGTCTCCTTGCTCTGTTCCAAGGACTGTTTCCTGTTCCAAGTGTAGGTTTCCCATGAGCACCATAAAGCACAGTCCCATTCTCCTCAAGGTCAGCCACAGTTTTTTGTGACTCACACAGTCAAACACCTTTGCATAGTCAATGAAACACAGTAGACATTCCTCTGGTACTCTCTGCTTTCAGCCAGGATCCATCTGATATTGGCAATGATGTCCCTAGTGGCACAGCCTCTTCTAAACTTAGTTTATATTTCTGGTAGTTCTCTGCCGATTTACTGTCCCAGTCATTTTTGGATGATCTTGAAAAGAATATTAGTGATACTGTTTAATAATTTCCACACACTGTCAGGTCATCTTTTTTTTTTTTTTAATGGGAACAAACATGGACCTGTTCTGGTTAGTTGGACAGGTGATTGTCCTCCATATTTCTTGACACAACATGGTGAGCACGTCCAGGGCTGCATCTGTTTGTTGAATTATGTCAGTTGGTATTCCATCAGTTCCTGGGGCCTTTTTTGGTTTTTTGGGTGTTTGTTTGTTTGTTTGTTTTCTTTTTATAGTTAACCATAATTTATTATGATTCACACAGTTAAATATCTTCTTTTTTTATGGTACAAGATTTGTTCTTTTTTTAATTTAAATTTATTATTAATTGCAGTAAAAATTTACAGAAACTTTGGATTTTCATTCATTCATTATTGTACTTTTCTCCCCTTTCAACCCTCCCCCCTAAAACAAATTCTTTCATTGTTTTCCAAACCCTCCCGCCAGGTCCACTCCACCATGTAGCCTTCGCTATAGACGCCTGTCATGACAAAAATACCTAATCACATATCCCTTTTAAACAGTTTTCTCCCTCACCTGTTTCAATGCAGTATACATTATTGAACCCATCTTTCTCAGTCTCTCCCCAACCCCAAGCTCTGTCCTGTTTTACAACAGTGGCACCATGCAATATTTGTCCTTTAGTGACTGAGATACTTCACTCAGCATAATATCCTCCAGGGTCACCCATTTTGAATAATATTGCATGAGTTCCTTGTTTTTCAGTGCCGCGTAGTATTCCATTATATGAATATACCACAGCTTCTCTATCTATTCGTTTGTTTATGGGCACTTAGGTTGTTTCCAACTCCTGGCTACTGTGAACAGAGCTGCAATAAACATGGGTGTGCATATATCTGCTAGGATGTCAGTTATAGTCTCTTAGGGGTATAATCCCAGTAGTGGAATTGCTGGGTCAAATGGTATCTCTATTTGCAACTTTTTGAGAAAGCTCCATGCTGCCTTCCACAGTGGTTGCACCATTTTACATTCCCACCAACAGTGAATAAGGGTTTCAGTTTCTCCACAACCTCGTCAGCATTTGTTGCTTGCTGTTCTGTTAAATTTTTCTATTCTGACTGGGGTGAGATGATACCTTATAGTTGTGTTAGGGGCCTTGTTTTTTGCCAGTTCCTGTAGAGCAGCCTGCACTTCCTCCTTCATCATCACTGCCTCTTGAACATAAAATGTTCCATGAAATGATTCTGTGTCAGCCAGTTCTTTTCGGTACAGTGATTATGTGCACTCCTCCCATCTTCTTTTGATATTCTGCCCTTAGCATCCTTCAGGATTGCAACTCGAAGCTTGAATTTGTTATTCAGTTCCTTCAGCTTAAAATGCTGAATAAATTCATCCCATTTGATTTTCCAACTTGAGCTCTTTGCACATTTCATTATTATACTTTGTTTTGTTCTCCCGAGCTGCCCTTTGAAATTTTCTGTTCAGCTCCTTAACTTCCTGACATCTTCCTTTGCTTTGGCTTCCTTTTTCCCCCCTCTCGTGTGCCATTGAGTTATATCGTACTGGCACAGGAGGAGACTGCCACTCCTCCAGTGGAGCATCTGATGGGTTTGAACTGCACACCTTCGGGATTGCAGCACAGTGTCTTGCCACTAGGCCACCAGAGCTCCCTTGTGCTTTGGCTTCTTAACACTAGTGCAGTTTTCAGAGTCTCTTCTGACACCCATCTCGGTCTTTTCTTCCTCCCCCATCTGTAATGACCTTTTGCATTCTTCAGGGATAACATTCTTGATAGTCTCCCACAGCTCATCTGGCCTTCACTCATGTGTCATGGTATGCTTTACTTTGAGATAAAAATCCACATGGTAACCAAGTGGACATGAAAATGTGCCTTAGTCCTGTGTAGAAAGATCTGTGGTCAAGCTCTCACAGAGCTGGGGAGATTGGGAGTAGAAGGAACCGGGGGCGGGAAGAGTGACCATGTGTGCCACGTGAGGGAGGAAACGTGGATGGATAAAAAAACTGTATGAATCGTCTAGTCTCAGTTGTTGGTGTTATGTGCTGTTGAGTTGCCGGCAACCCTCTATACAGCTCTGAAGCCTTCCCAGTCCTGAGACAGTTTCACTGACTCCGACACACCTACCGCCATCGCCCCAGTCACTATATCAGTCCATCTCATCCGAGGTCTTCCTCTCCTGCACTGGTCTCTCCTGGCCTCATGCCCAAAGTATGTGAGATGGAACTTCAGAATCCTAGCCTCCAAGGAAGCACTTGGTTTCACTCTTTCCAAGACAGACATATTTGTTGTCTTGGCAGTCCCGGGTATGTTCAATACTCTTACTCAGCACTACAACTCAAAGACATTGATTCTTCCTCTGTCATCCTTAGTCATTACCCGGCTTCTGCAGAACAGATCATTTGGGAGGCTCAGCTTTATGAGGACGAATTGGAGAAAGACTCATCAACAACCTGCGTTATGCAGATGACACAACCCTGCTTACTGAAACTGAGGAGCAATCTGAAGCGCTTGCCACAGAAGATCAAGAACTGCAGCCTTCAATATAGATTGTATCTCAACATCAAGAAGTCAGATATTCTCACCACTGGGCCAATTGACAGCACCATCGAGAAGAGATTGAGGTCGTTAACAGTTACAGCTTGTTCACTACACAATCAGCGCTCTTGGTACCAGCAGCCAGGAAATAAAAGATGAATTACATTGGGAAAATCTGCTGTCAGGGATCTCTCCAGAGTACTGAAGAGCAGCGATGTCATTCTAGAGACCAAGGTGTGCCTGAGTCAGGCCATGGTCTTCCAGACTCAGAGAAAATTCTTATACCCACTTCGTTTCCTCCATGTCCTCATAGGTTCCTTAGTCTTCCATGTCTTTGAGACCACACTTCTGCCCCTTGAACCACAGGTTCGCTCTTATCTTGGGGATTAAGGACCATTTGGTGGTGGAACAGTCACTTCCATACAAGAGGTCCACCCAGCATACCTCATGTGCAGCCCCCCACTACCTGTCAGGAGGCTGGTGTGTTGCTATGATGCTTGACAGGCCTTACCAGAACTTCTGGACTAATGAGACTAGGAAGAAAGGCCTGACACTCTGCTTCCTAAATCCCACAACTGAAAACCTGATGCGACCCCATGAGTGGAGGCCTTCCATGTGTGGGAGCTGACTCTTAGGCAGCTTATGGCAGGAACTCTGAGCTGCCCGTGTGGCCATGCTGTCCCTCGTGGCTGGCTGGATGAGACATCAACATGCTAGTCGCCCATGTCTGTCCCGTTCCGTCTTTTCCTGCCACCCCCCCCCCCCCCGAAGTCCCCCAGCACTCTGGGCTCCTCATCTGCTCACCTCTTTGAGTTCCTGAACCTCAGCGGCTGCCTTTCTTTTCACCCCCTTTTTTGACCTGCACACAGGACAGTTGCCTATCTTCTGCACAGACAAGTGCCATTAGTGTCCACAGAGTCCCCACCACTCGGCTGAGCATGTGCTGCTGGCCAGCTGTGAAAGTCAGACCCCAGGACGCAGGGTCTCAGGGCCACACTATGTCTGAACTTAGCGAGGATGGCCAGGTGACCACACAACACAGTATCGCCACTCCCACGATGTCCTCTTCGTCTTTCTTAAATGTCTCGATCGTAACCAGAATCTGTGTTTCAGTTTGCAGTTAACATGTTTCGAACATTACCACCTTCCTCCAATCCCACGGGAGCAGAATTTGACCCCGAGGAAGACGAGCCCACGTTAGAAGCAGCCTGGCCTCATCTACAGGTAAGCCAGGAGGGTGGGGTGCCTTACATGCCGGTTTGGGGTCCAGGGGCCCCAGCCTCCTGTCAGCTGTCATATGATGAACCTTTGGTCTCCAGTAGCTCCAAGACTTTGCAAACCTCTAAATGCAAGAAAGCTTGGTGGAAGAGAGATTTAATGGGTTTTGCTGGAATGTTTGTTTGAAACATTTTCCTTTGCAGTGGAATCCCCATTTCACCAGTAGTTCTTGCGCTCAGGCTGGGAGAACTCGTGTTGAGTTTTCTCAAGATTCTCAGAACTTGGATGCCCTTGGGCCGCCTGCACCTTGCCAGCTAGTGCCCTTCCTAAGGCCTTGTCAGGACAGCCAGAAAGGAGAAGTCTGGTGGGCTTGGGGGTCATGTAGAAGCAGTGAGCTGCAGGCCTGGGCAGGGGCTGGGTGAGCCCTGAGAGGGGTGAAGAGATTCAAGGGGAGGGGATGGTGAGACCAGCAAGAGTGCCGGGTGTCTCGGCTGCAAAACATTCTCTGCCAAGGCATTATTAATGTTGCTACTTGAAACACATCAAGCGTGCAAAACTCCCTGACCTGGGAGGGGGTGGGGCTTCCACGGTCCAGGTGATGCTGCAGCCCCTGGGTCTGCCCAGCTTCCGCCCAGCATCTCCGCTGCCTCTGGGTGTAGCCAAGCCACAGGTCCCTCCTGGAGCTGGGCCACAGCCCTGTTCACGGCCCATGCATACTTGGGGTCTCCAGCAGCATGGCTTAGCTCTGCTGACATCACCGTGGAAATACTTTTATTTTTCAAATGCCTCGTAAGGGCAGAATCTGTGGTTCTCAGCCACGTAAGATAATTGCCGTCATCAGTTATAATTAAATAAAACGTGGAATTTTCCATTCATTCTCTAGCTTCCTGGCAATCAATCAATAAATACATAGATAGATAGACAGACAGACAGTCAGTTAGATGGCTAATATTTGCAGGCAAATAAAGATTCTGTTCTGTTTATGGTGGATTTTCATTTCCTTTTAGTAAAATGCCATGTTGTTGGACTCATTTTGCATTTTGTTTTGTTTCTCTTTCTCCCAGCTCGTTTATGAATTTTTCTTAAGATTTTTAGAGTCTCCAGATTTCCAACCTAATATAGCGAAGAAATATATTGACCAGAAGTTTGTATTGCAGGTACGGTGCAAATGAATTCTCATTCTTTAAGCCCTGACTGGCAGGTAAACTGAGTCACTAAATGCCTTTTTCTTCTTGAAGCTTTTAGAGCTCTTTGACAGTGAAGACCCGAGAGAGAGAGATTTTCTCAAAACCACCCTTCACAGAATCTATGGGAAATTCCTAGGCTTAAGAGCGTACATCAGAAAACAGATAAATAATATATTTTATAGGTAAGTCCGTGTGTGGACGGCTCTGCTCTTTCGGTTTGGTGATGTAATTTTAACAGGGAACACTCCCATACCCCGTCATTTCCTTTGATGTCAGTTAAAGGACAAGCAGTGTCTTTGAAAAGGAGACCTGGGGTTTAGTGGGGGAGCGGCCGGAAGGCAGCAGCTGCTCTCAGGAGCCCTGTGAGCTCGTGCACGCTGAGTCACCGGGCTCCGAGCTGTGCCTCCAGCGAGTGTCAGGCTGTAAGACACAGGAGGCGGTGTTCGCCTTTCTCTTGTCGAGTGGCCGGCTCGGTTCACACCGCCACGGCACGCCGCCTTTGTACTGGCCCCACAGCTCCGAATGGACCGCTCCAGAGCTGCCCTGGAAACCCCATGGGAGGTTCTCTTCTGTCCTGTGGGGTCTCCATGAGACAGTAGGAGGTTCATGCTCTCTTGGGCAGCGTCACTGTCACGTACCAGGGACCCCAGACTTCTCAGTGCCAGACTAGGGGTCGTTCCTGTCCGCCCTCCCTCAACACCCCTTCATTTCTTCCCTAAACCTCTCTCCGAGCCCAGCCCTCAACATGGTCCCCTCTGAAATGTGGGATTGACTCTACCCAGCACCCACTTCCTCCTCGCACCTGTGTTCCCTCACCTTCCCCACCATGTGGGGTGGGTGTGATTGAGTGTGGCGTATCTCCGCAGAGCTTAGAGCTCACACTGGAGGCTGGGGACCCTGGAGAGTGTGAGGACCCACCACCTGGTCCAGAGCAGGAAGTGAGGTCAGGAGGGGAGATCTCGAGAGTCTCTCCTGGTCCACAGGAGGAGGCAGGGCTGTGTCCAGCACCATGAGCGCGTCTGGGCCACACGGCAGCAGGGAAGCTTACCTTGGAGGGCTTCTTCTCTGGCTTCATGTGCAGCCTTTCACAGCCACGGGGCTCACGGAGGAACATTCCGTAACATTTCACACCTAGCGTTCACCTTGGCCCTCCTCCCTCCTACCTCCTCGCTGGCTGTGTCCTAGCTTGAACCTGACCCTCTGGCCCCCCTCCCTCCCTCCCTCCCTGCTGCTACCCTGAATCTCACAGTGGGGGCCTGAGATGAACGCTCTGTCCTTGGCTGGACACTCCCAGCCCACAGGCCTCTGCTGAGCCTCATCCTCCTGGTTCTTCAAGGAATGTCACTTGGCCCCTCATCCGGAAGCTTCCAGGGCTTGTGGGTGGAGTCCGGCCTTGTAGAGATAAGGGATCCTTAGGGTTGTTTTATTGCCACAGCCCCAGGGCCACCCTGAACCCTCTCAGCCTTGGTCATCCTATGTGTCCTGGGGACAGTACACACCCACAGGGAGCTCTTCCTCCCCAGGCACTAGGTCAGTGATAAGACTATGACGGTGTGACCTCTAACCGACACACACACACACACACACACACACACACACACACACACACACACGCGCACGCGCACATCCTGTACAGCCCTCTGGCCTGCCATTGGTGAGCTCGCCTTTGCTGGGATGGGCAGATGTCCGAGCCCTGCAGCTTCCCAGAATCCCTGCCAGCCTGTGGGCAGCACGTGGTACCTCCCGCCTCACTCCCCGACAGCTGTTGGGTACTGACCGCTGTTGTTGGGTACCGTTGGGTCATGCTCAGCCCCATCTGCACGGCTGTGGTGGACCCCCACTGTGACCACTGGATCACACATGGAGGGCCTCTTTTTTGCTGTTACCCTCTACTTCTCCAGGAACTAGTTCTCCTGGTAACATTTCCAAGGCAGTGAGGGAAAGCTTTGCAGTCCTCATGTCCAAGGAGATTGCTGACTGCACTTTAACCAAGACAGATTTGTTACCGGGCAGCCCCTGGTGTACTCGGTGGTATTCACCAACACCGTAATTTAACGGCATTGATGCAGGGGAGCTGTGGTCTCGAAGGCGTGCGGTTCAAATCCACCAGATGCTCCGTTGGAGGAGGGGCAGTCTCCTCCTGTGCTGGTCAGCGGATTCCCATGGTTTCTTACTGTTGTTACTGAATCCTACCCCATCCTGTGCCATCCTCCTCATCTCATATACTTGACCCCATTGTTAAAGTCGCTGTGTCAATCCATCTCATTGACTTTCTTTAGCTGACTCTCCACCTCTCCCAGCTTGATGTCTTTTTTTCTGAAAATTTACCCCTCCTGATAACATATGCAGAGCATGTGAGATGAAGTTTCAGCATCCACCTCCAAGGAGCACCCTGGTTGCACTTTCTCCACACATCTCTGTTCTTTTGACAGTCCAGGAAATACTCAGTCCTCTTCATCAAGACAACAGCTTGAAGACATCCCTTCTCCTCTTGTCATCTTTATTCATTGTCCAACGTTTTAAGTAGTTAGAAAGACCTTGGCTTGGATCAGGAGCACCTTAGTCTTTAAACTGACACCGTTGCGCTCTGGCACATTGGAGAAGTCCTTGGGCCATAATGTAATCCTCAAAGTGGCATCTTTGCCCTCTGACAATTTCCTTAAAGAGTCCTTTGCAGCAGATTTCCCCCGAATGTTGGTTACAGAGCCAGGTAAACGAAATCACTGCCCACTTCACTCTTCCCTGTTGATCCTGATGTTGCTCATTTGATCAGGGATGAGGATTTTTGTCTTCTTGATATATTTTTTTCCTTCTTTGTTCATTTTTATTCGTTGTCCTAACTTTCAGATGCGTGTTGTTGTTATGTGCCGTTGAGTTGCTTGCAACTCATAGCGACCGTGTGTACAAGAGCCCTAAACCCTGCTCTATCCTGGGCCAACCTCACTTTCTCTGACACTCCCATCCCCATTACCTCAATCACTGAATTGCTCCACCTCATAGAGGGCCTTCCCCTCCTGCACTGTCCCTCCACCCTCCCAAGCATCATGTCCCTCTCCAAGGACTGGTCCCTCCTTGCAACATGTCCAGAGTAGGTCAGACGAAGCTTCAGAATCCTTGCCTCCAAGGAGCAGCCCGGTTTCACCCTCTCCAGGATGAACCTGTTTACAGTAACTGAAAATACCGTGGCTTGGATCAAGTGTGCCTTAGTCATCTTCGTTGTTGTTGTTGTTAATTTTACTTTAATATCACTTTGTTATTTTTTTAATTTAAATAAAATTTTTATAGTGGTTTACTTAACAAAGTTCGCATACATTGTCCCTCCTCCCATCAAATTGTGCGATCCTAAGGTTAACCACCCCTACCGTGCCACACCCACCCATCATCACCCCTCTGCTCCTCCTCCCCCTCCTTGGGTCCTCATGCACATTCTACAGTAATGGTCTTACATAGTTTTTGTCCTTATGGGACTGAGTTATTTCACTCAGCATAATGCTCTCCAGTCCGTCTCAAGCTAGGTAGTAATTTACAAAATCATTGCTCCTACATACTGCATAGTATTCCATTGTGTGAATGCACCATAATTTCTCAATTCATTCGATTGCTTTTGGACATTTGGGCTGTTTCCATGTTCTTGCAGTGGTGAATAATACTAATATGTACAAGTCTCCATTTGTGCCTCAGTTCTCATTCTCGGTGTATATTCCAAGCAGTGGAATAGCTGGGTCATACGGAATTTCTATGTTCAGCATTTTGAGGAAACACCAAACTGTCTTCCAGAGAGGTTATACCGTCTTACATTCCCACCAATAATTTATAAGAGTTCCTATCTCGCTACATCCTCTTTAACATTTATTACTTGCCATCCTGTTAAACTTTGCCACAGCTACCGGAGTGAGATGGTATTTCATTGTGGTTTTGATTTGCATCTCTCTTATTGCTGTTAATTTTGAGCATTTCTTTTTTAATTAATTTTTTTTTTAGTTGAGATTTTAATGAAAGTTTGTACAGAACTTGGATATCCATTCATTGTTGCACATTTTCCTCCCTGGCCTTCCCCCCCCCCCAAGTTTGGTTTTCTCTTTGAAGCAAAGATTCTTTGATTGTTGTACAATCCTCCCCCAGTCCACTTTATTATGCAGCTCTAATTCTGGACTGTTGTCATGCAGATAATACCTAATCATATCCTCCTTTTAAGCTGGTCTTTCCATCATCTGTTTCAATGCAATGTACATTATTTAATCCCCTCTTTTCTTAATATGCCCCATCCGCCATGTCAGTCCTGTTTTTTTAACAGTGAAGTGTTTGTCCTTTTGTAACTGAGCTATTTCACTCAGCAAATGTCCTCCAGGGTCACCCATTTTATTAATATTGCATGAGTTCCTTGTTTTTCAATGCAGCATAGTATTCCATTGTGTGAATATACCACAGCTTCTCTGTCCATTCGTTTGTTGATGGGCACTTAGGTTGTTTCCCTCTCTTTGCTATTATGAACAATACAACTGTAAACATGGGTGTGCATATCTGTTTGGGTGGCAGTTCTGATTTCTTTAGGTTATATTCCCGGTAGTGGGTTTATTAAGTTAAATGATATTTCTATTTCCAACTTTTTGAGAAAGTGCCATATTGCCTTCCAGAGTGGTTGCACCATTTTACTCTCCCACCAGTTTCTCCACAACCTCGCCAGCATTTGTTATTTGGCTTTTGGGCATTTCTTCATGTTTCTGTTGGCCATCCAAATAGCTTCCTCTGTGAAAACACTTTCCATGTCTTTTGCCTATTTTGTAATTGTGGTATCAGCCTTTTTCTTGTGGAAGCCCTATAGGATTCTGTAAACTTTTTATATGAGACCCTTGTCTGAAATGATATTGCCAAAGGGGTTTTTTTCCCCAATCAGTAAGTTTTATTTTTATTCATTTTTTATTTATTTTCTTGTGTGTGTGTGTGTGTGTGCGCGCGCGCGCGCCATCAAATTGGATCTGACTGGTACAGGAAGAGATTGTCCCTCCTTCTCCAGCAAAGCATCTTGTGGATTCAAACCGCAAACCTTTGGGATTACAGTGCAACTTCTTGCCACTAGGCCACCAGAGCTCGCCTATTTTTATTCTTTTGGAAAAAGCTTTTTATGCACACAGGGATTTAATCTTTAGAATGTCTCATTCATCAATTTTATCCTATTCAGGTT